AGGGTCAAGATTTTCGATCAATCGGTTCGCTGATCTAACATAATAATCTTTGATTTTTGCAAGGGCAGAGAGCTGACTGCTTTTCTTTCACAGAAACCTTGAGAGCTCTGCTCTGGCTGTAGAATGCCGAGCAACTGAGGACTCTCAGTTTAAGGCTTTGGCGACAACGTTCCACCACTGAAAAAAAAACTGTTGGCCACAAGGTAAAGTCTGTATGTCTTCGCAGATTACTGTACTGATGTACTTGATTTGAAGAAACGGGTCAAACGTAGCTATGAAGCTTTCTCTCCTTCAATTTGCCCTTCAAAGTTGCGCTTGTATTATGTATGAAGAGGACGTTGGTTTCACGGGCTAGAAATCGTAAACAGCAACAAACCTAAAAATAAAAGGGTTATTAAAACCTTAAAGATTCTATAAAACCTTAAAGATTCTATAAAAGCTTAAAGATTCTCGGATTGCTAGATAATCAGTGCCCTTGCCTTTACAAAAAAAGTGCGAGCAATCCTCTACTAGCTTGAATGCTTCCAGCCAGAAGAAGATTTGAGCATGTTGGGCAAATAACGAACAGAACCAGATGCTTGCACTAATCGATTGCTATACCGCTAGCGCAAAAAGTACTGGAAGCAAACCTCTAGCGAAATGCAGATTTTGTCTCAACTTTGAGAAAGTACGTGAGCGGCCATTGTCAGTTGTCCTACAGCGCAGTCAGGAACAAGATGGAATTTCGATTGCTCGAAATGACAGGTTGTTGCGTCATAGAGATCCCAGAAGGTCTGCAATATGCCTAAATCGGCGTGGATGCAAAATGGACTGGAGTAATTAGAAGCAAAGAAAGCCAAACATTGGGAAAGGAATACACTCCAGAACACAGATGATCCGTTTCGCTCGGTGTCGCAGACTAAGCCAGGCCTTCGCACTGCTTTCAACGAAATGGTAGCGATGATTCGAAAACGTGCCAAATACTCGTACCGTCCAGAAAACTTGGCAGAAGATACAAATTATCAAAGGCAAAGTCTCAATGCTAGGACAGGACCGCTGACTGGAGCCCACAACATCCTCGGAGTTTACTCGATGACAGGCTAGCAAGGTGTAAACAGCTTCTAAATACTTCCTAGAACGCGACTAAAAGATGTTGGCTAGATCTTTCTTCTTTGACATGTGACATCGTCAGATTCTATCCGGTGCATCCTCTGAAGACCACCGTTACGGGGAGTCTTCCAAAGAATATAGCGCGCAAACACACAGGCTAAAGAGTGTTGCCTTGCCGATTGCTCCTTGAGAACGCCATAATCCCTTATAAAGTGTTCAAACTCAAAGTGGAGTGGAAGAGCGGCAGGAGATATTCAATATCCTGGTTAGATTGTGTCACCTTGACGGTATCATGTGAAATGATTTCTTAATCCACATCCTGCCCACGGTGTAACTTTAGATAGGCCGATAATTAGGCTGGCTCATCTCGCACCTAGACTCCCTTGCCAATGGGGAGCCCTCGCATAATTGAGTGACCTCTTGTTAGAAGGTGAATGATCGTGTCGTCCCTGGAATTCTGTAAATCAGCACGTCGTTCTTCCCTCTTTTACTTACCTGTCTCTCGCCAATGTATCGCTGTACACCTTGGTGCTCTGGAGTAGCAGGAGAAGCGGAGGCATCTAAGGTAACTGAAAGAAACGAGTCCGGCATTGCCGAATTGGGATGGCTCGCAGATGCGATGTGTGTCTGCAAAGAGGGGAGGGGTGTAACAGAGGTTGCTACTGTGGGCGCAGGTTCTGTCGCAGAAGGTATCTGTGGTAAAACTGAAGACGTATATAGTGAAGGAGTGGCCGCATGCATTGTGCTGTAGTAAATGTCTGCAAAAGATCCATAAGCAATATACGTTGGAAAGGAGTAGGCTGGTGCAAAATTGACGGTATGCTGAACGACTGATCAGATCCTTGTGTAGTCGGGGTGTCGATCGTCGAGGCCATGTACAATGATGAATGAAATTGTGAAGTGTTGCCGTGTGGGTAAGGGGTTGGGGAGTATTGGCATGATAGGTACTGTGCATAGACGGACCAGCTCCTCCTGGGAAAGTAAAATCCGGATAGAGAAAGTCGCCGTAACAACCTGAAATCATGCTGAGACACAGATAACACACGTGACACAGACACGGATAGGGGCTGTCAATTCAGTTCCTCTGCTTAAACACTTGTTGATATGATTGACCTTCGAAAAGGCTGTAATACAAGGGAATCAAAGAGAAGGTGTCTAATAATGTGTGAAAGGTCATCTGCAGTAAACATTTGCTTGTAGCTGAGTTCTTGAGTACCTCTGTAATCTAACTGTGGCGTAAAATTCCCCCTGCCCACTTCCCATTATTTGTTAGGATTCTGATGTTTCCCACGGAACCTACAAAATCTACCACTCGTGCTTAATGAGAGATTGTGCAGAGACCCTCTTTCAGAAGATGGCGTCAGAGTGCGCCGATGACGAAGCACACCCCCCCCCTTCCCGTCAACCTCTTTCCGTTTTCCCCATGGCCATGATGTGCACTGTCCCCGTTCCTATTACTGTCGCACTTACGCCTTTATTCTGCGCACACCTTTCAGCTGTGCGTTCACGGTTCGTTGGACGTGTAGCAAACCCCATCCCTCAGCTGGCGTCGATTTTCAAGCACAGCGCGAGGCCACTCTGACAAAGGCGCTAAAGAGAGTGGAGAGAAAGACACGACAAGAGGTGGGAGGCGAAGAGAGCGCCAACGGGCGATTCCAAACACCCTGTTTCATCGTGAAGCTCGTCCTTCACTGACCGAAGCACTTGTGCAAACAACCACACCATTATCGCGGCAGATGTATATTGCGTAAACCAAACATATCAGTGTAAATAGTCTTGAAATACAAATGTAGTATGTGGAGAGCAAAATCTACCCCTCAAAAGTGAAATTCTCTACAGTCTATTTCGGATGGGATCACTTCCTCACGATAACGTGTAAATTTATTACATTCTGTTGGAGTGCTTTGGCGATCTTGGTTGCAATGAGCCAGAACAAGTTTTGGCTGTGCATTGTCTGCCACCAAACTCGATGCATGCGCCGATCCCATCGCTGAATGGACGAATGGTTCAGGAAGAGTGGTCGCCTCAAAATTCATGTCATATTTTGAGCTTTGATCGCAGCGAAAGCGTCCTTTGTGTATCCAATTGAGAAAGTACTAGCCTTCAGTGAATGGTAACAACGCTTCTCAATTAATTATGTAGGCAGCATACATCTTTACACTTCAAATCTCTTTACAACGCCGAATGCAAATCGAAGGCACGGCGCATTTCAATTTTCTCCGCTAACACGGAACTAAGTCATTCATGATTCAGTACCCAGCAACATACAGGTCCTAAGGGTTTGCCTTCCTCGTGGAGTGGTTCTTGTCGAGTAGCATACCTAAGATCTGATCTCACGTATCTAATCTGTATTTCAGCAGGGCCTCTACACAGTATGACCTCCGCAGAGGCCAGGGCGTGTGACTTTTTGTCAGTCAAACTATTTGTGGTAGATATACCCGTCGGATGTCTCCACGCGCAAATTTTCGAGCTTCTGTTGAGTCGATTACGGCACTAGGGTCCTGCTGTTGAGCCTCGCTTCATCAAAACGATGTGATGTTATTCTCTTTTGCCCTGTAAAGAACCTGTTTCGCCAGCGGCGTTAAAAAGTGTGCCAGATCAGATGAAGAGGCACGGATGCTGTTGGCAACCCTTTCTGCAACCTCCACAACTACCGATATTATGAATGCTCTATGCTGCACTCCCTGTCCTGTGGCCTGCTTCTGAGCTCAATTTTATGATTAAATTATGAGAATATTGGTTATGTCCTCGCTCCAGAGGGCCCAGCGAAACTCCTGACTTAAAAAAAGCTTGAGCTTCTGGAGCACATTCACTTATTTGTACTTCATCACGTCGAAAAACGTCGCGACACAATTCCGAAAACAGACCCCTCGCTCATCGAGTTCGTGACATTCTTTCCATGCCTAAGGAGTTCGGTGCGTAATCGCAAAGCCGGTCCCACTTCTGCGGCTCCACCACAAGTGACGAGTGCGCTGCGGCCATCATAAGTCGCAGTATAACTAGTGTATACGCTGTACAACTGTAAGTTCAATGGCCGCATTACCCAATGTCGAGCAGTGCGACAATTTTGGCGATTACGCACCCGACAACTTGGGTAAGGAAGAAATCCAACGAAACGGTCAAGCGCGAAATCTGTCCTCGAGGTTGCTCATTGAAAGCTTCACTTCTGAAGCTTATAATAGCCCAGCTTATAATACGATATCGCTTTGTGAGGTGTTGATCCTTTTACCGTTCCTGCCGTATGAATGTTTTCAACAATATGCTCCGATTTTTGAAGCTCCGGGAAGTTGAATATTGTCGAGTTGCAAGCCGAACAAAACCTGCAGAAGTCTCAGAAAGATTACACACAAGCGCAATTTCGTTGAGCTAGAATTGGTTGTCAATTCGGGAGGGGCAGGTGAGCGTTGGCACCACACCTGTCAATAAAATCTTGCCCAGGAGTCTTGCATCATCTTCCATTGGCTTACGTGGTATCGGACTAGCCATCGTAGAGCTATCACGAGTTCGCATGCTTCAGAAGGCAGGTACACTGGAACTCTTAGGATTCTTGGTCCCAGTCTGAATACCGCTCCTCAAAGGGTTATCGAGTGCACATATTATCAAGAAGAGTATTAGCAAAGCCGTTTTCGGGAGACTCCGATAAGTCGCCATTTAGTACGCCTTAAGCCAACCTCGACCCCTTAAAAGTCATTCTCATTTCCGATTCAACCAGTGTCTGAAACGGCGACGTAGATCCTCACGTTCGGCACGCGCCACCATAATGACCTATCTATTTACCGAGCGACGTAACGAACAGTACAATGGGACCATCAATTTTGAGCGCAAAAAGTATCTAAGTAAGCGGGCTAAGCCAGAGCTATTGGAGCTAAGTGGGCATCTCTCAAGGCACAATATCGTACTTCAGCGTGAACACAGTCGGTGTAGCCTGGGAGACAGAATCCAAAAAAAAACTCTGTGTCACAGAATTTGCATTCCGATCATGCTATGGGAACAAATCTAGGAAGAAGACAAGCTACAGAATGTCTGCTCGGAGGAGTTCAACTAGTGATTGCTTAAAGGCGAGCGTTCAGTATCGAAATCAAAAATAGGCCAAGTTAAAGCCCAAGAAGTCACTGATCGAGCTTTGGCGTCACTCTCGGTTCTTTGAGGTCTCGGAAGCCGGTTTTTTGCTATCATATTCCAGATCGCACTGACGACCAACTGCCTCTACCAGGGCGATGTAGAACACTTACCACCTATCCGAACCTCGAAGACGAATCGCAACACTTTAAAAAGGGTAGTCGATCGTAAATCGGGGTTAATTCCAAGCAATCGCTTTTTTATAGAAGATCGGGTTCTAGTATGCGGACGGACGAATGGTCCAACTCGTTCATCGAATTCTGGGTTGTCCTGCCCTGGTAGTGCTGAAGCGTAAATGAGCACTAATGATGAAACACGAGCTCTGCTATTTACCAAGGATCCTAAAAGTATCATCCTGCCGATCACAATGCGGCCGAGGGCGGCTAACACCTCTCTTACTGCCTTTAAACAGGTTAAATGGATACCTTGGGCGATACTTCTGATGTGAGCCAAGTATCAGTTCAGTGCAGAACCAGTGATGCGTCCAAGTAAGACTTGCCGGACGTGCCAGCGTTCAAAGGCAGCGTGCTACGCTCCAGAATAGTTCTTGCACAAATCAACAAATCTAAAAAATAGTGAAGCAAACGGTAAGACAGGTCATCATCGACTTCGCTGAAGAGCATTGAAGCCATTCAGAATCAAACAAACTTTTTTTATGGTAAACGTTATGGAAAAGCTCCCCGTTCAAGCCTGAAAAATGAATCTCCGAGAGGATGAGCTGAGAGGTATTGAAACCCTACTTCAAAAAACACATCCTCCAGCTCCCAACCGTTTCCTCGCGCTGCGCTTCCCCTGAATACCGCCGAACAAGGGAAAAAATGTGCGTAATGGTGCTCGTAACTACTCGCGGCTTGGAACTTTATTGTGCGGAATCAGCACTACCGTAATCCGGCGAACCAATCCGGCCCATCAAAATGGAATAGCGTCAAGGCCAGTAATGGTCTTGGCGCATGTCTATTCGAATTTTTCGAGCATGGGAGTTATGTGTTCCTTGAACAACCACTGCCACAGAATTTCTTCCCTCTACTAATCACAACGGGGACTAGTGGCATATCTCGGAACACCAGCAAGTAAATTCGTGTAGTTCAGCACCCGACTATTTCATGGGGTGAAGATTAACCAGTCATTCTATTCCGATTGTGAGCTCGGTTTCTACTTTATTGAGGATAATAATTTTGTGCCAGTACGGAACCCAAGGGAATTCTCATCTGTGTGCGTAAATGATAATTACGATCGCAATTGCTCCGATCGCCACCACCTGTTTCTAATGACACAAGGTCAGCGCGACGGGCGTCACGGTGTTCGCCCACGGTTTGAATTTCGCGCCGAACGCCAATTTCGCACTAACGACAACTGGACGCCAATCGAATCGAAGATTCATATCAGCACGGTGGGAAAGCTACCTTTGGAACTGCTTAGAAAATTTCATTGAGTGTTAGTGGTTTCTACAAAATTCATTGATACCACCGGCAAATTATGATAAGTTACATTGGAAGTTGTTCTTATAGAAAAGAAAAGCGACTCTGGGAAAGAAGGGTCCTCATTTTGTCCGAAACGAAAAATAGCACTGATAAAAAATAAAGAAAATAAATGCTTTGAAGGGACGTTCTAAAAACGTGTTGGATTGTTTCATCTCTTCATCAGCCGAATTTTCTCATTAGGTGGGAATCTCTTTTTCGTCTTTGGTCAAGCAGCAGTTTGGCACAAGCGATTGTTACTTGGCTACCACATGGCTATAGTCCCCTTCCTGCACTTGGAAATGCGCCGTGAATCCCACTTGGGGGCGTCACCCACAGCGTCGTACGAATCGATAGGTAAGCCAGCGTAATAATTCTGGGAGGGGTGGGAGAGGTTTGACGGCATAGAAAGAACAACTCATAAACCTTGATGCCAAGTCGAAGTCCAACACGCCATCTCGTCGGTGAAGAGTCGTATGGCATCCGACCTTGACAGGATTAATCCTCAATATCTGGAAAATTTTCCGCCAGTTCTTGTCGGAACATTTGCTTGACTCTTCGCGCGCTAGTTCGTAAATCGATTCCCATCCTTTTAGGCTCTGAAGGAAGTGAACTCGAAGAAACGTAGGCTGAATAAAAAAAGGTCATTTCTAAACACGAATGCAGTTTAGGAAGAAACAGATGAATAGGACTAAACCGTCAGCCATGTTTAGCCTCCTGAAGATGGCGATGGCAAATGGCAAATCAATAAATAGTTTCAAGAGACCCCGTTGACAGAATAGAAAAGATGTCAGCGTATACAATGGTGCCGAGATTTCACGAAGACGGAAGTTGGACCCTCTTAGAAAGTCCGTTTTTTTCTGGGTTAACACTCCACGCTACGGAGTGACACTGCCGTACCACGTCTTGTCTCTCTTGTATCATCTTGTCTTGCTACGTCTCTTCAGAGCCTCACAAGGGCCTTTGCCTCTTCTTCCTCAAACCTGAGCAGAAACAAGGCGATCAATTTATGGAAAATTAAATCGATACCGAGAGCAGCGCAATGGGATGAAAATTCGTCCCAAGTTTCTTTTCTCAGGGAGAACTCGTCGATACTGAACAAGTTAAAACAATCCCGAAAAGTAAAGAGAAATTAAGACTCAGTTCGTCAAAAACGGAAATTTTGTTAAACGCTTCTCGCTCGAGTGAAACATCTGTGGTTGGTCATTAGCAGTGGAGCCTATCAGGATGTAGCAGGTTCACAAATGTAAAACACAAAGTAAAGCCAGCAACTGTCACAGTAGGACTTGGACGATTAGGACCAACTGCACCAGTAACATGGCCAAAGTGAAACGACGAGTTCTCAGGAACTGCAGTGGAGATTCGAGCCAGTACCACAAGGGTCACGTCGATGCATTAATGCCTTACTGGGTCATTTGAATCCACCCACAGTGAGTCAATCTAGTGGTGGTCCCAACAAAACCTAGTATACGTCCAAGGTGAAGTTTTGTGTTTGAAATCGGCGATGCCTCCCTAGATTCACTGATCTATGATGGACTACTCTTAAGCTTGAAATGATGTCTGCCGATAGAATCATACTGATCCTTAACTTCCTGGCTCTGACGGAGGGAACTAGCCAAAACATTAGCCGAATAAGTAATTTAGCACGATGTTCTGGCTACAGAATTTGACCGAAGCTGAAGGGCCAAAGGGTTCTTCCACGAGGACTTTCTACAATAGCTCTGTGACAAGACAGAATGGAAGTGGACTAAAGAGAGCAGCTACCTCAGCATAGAATAGTGCAAAGGATACGTGAACAATGTGGGCATTCATGGTTGAAGAGATGCTAAAGATCAGCGAGCCTCTCACCATGTGTGCAAAAGCAGAAAACTGATTGTATTCAAAAGACCGAGTTCAAGTGGTCCGTGCACCTCTCAAAACGCCCTTTTTCTCAAAACCTAGCACAGCTAGTTAGAGATTCGGTGTGGCGAGTGGTAGCGTCTGCACCCGTTATCTTGCCACCACAATCTCTACAGTGCGCCTAAGCTGCTAAAGCGCCTACAGCCCAATACTCATGTACACTTTCTGACTCCAGGGCCTTACTCCGAGGCAGAGCCCCGTTGTTGCGACTGAGCAAGAGCTTCCTTATTGTTGACAACCGAACACCGGCGCTGCCTATAAATCTTCCCAGATAGGACCACACCTCAATCGTTTGACTCTGAGTGCCGTATAACTTCGCAAGTCAGTTTTTGAAAACATAAGAGTAACATTTTCATTTTAATGTTTATTAGCAATGTATGTATAAGCAATGAATATAAATATGTACATGAGATCTCTGGAAGGTTAAAGGCACTTAACAATGGATTCGTTCAGGCTTTGACCTTCTTCGCCGCTTTGGGCTTGGAGACCTTGGGTTTCGTGGCCTTTGGCTTTGAGACCTTGGAAGCTGGCTTCTTGGCGCTCTTAGCCTTTGGTGCCTTGGCCTTCTTCGGGCTCTTCGCTTTCTTCTCGGCCTTGGGCTTCTTGGCGGAGGTGGCCTTCTTGGGGCTCTTCGGTTTCTTGGCACCAGCGGGCTTCTTAGCGATGCTCTGGAAATGAAATCAATTTAGACGACAAATGCAAGAGAATGTACAAAGCTTAATGCAAGAATTGCAAAGAAGTTCAGTAATTTTGGGACTAACAAACCTTCTTAGCAGCAGGAGCAGCGGCTTTCTTCTCTCCGAGCTTGAAGCTTCCAGACGCACCGCTACCCTTCACTTGCTTGAGATCTCCCTTCATGACACCGCGTTTCAGGGCCAGACGGAGTTGAGCGTTGATCTGCAAATAAGGAAATTATGCAACTACAAAGGAGAGACCGCAAGGCAAAACATAAGGAGTTCTCTATAATTCTTCGGCTTACCTTAGGCACATTCTCTCCGAGCTTGTAGTGAGCCAGCATGTACTTGAGGATGGCAGCCTTAGATGATCCAGACTTCTCCTTGAGTTCAGCAACCGACTTGCGGATCATGGCGGAGTAGGTTGGGTGCGAAGCAACCTTCTTGGCAGCCTTGGGCTTGGAGGCCTTGGCGGCCTTAGGTGAAGTAACAGCAGGAGCAGACATGACGACTTGACTTGGATTCAGCAATGAGCTGCAGGCACTGCGCCACGGTTGCTTATACACCGCGCAGGGTTCCCCCGTCGCGCCCCCACCACGATCGACCTCGCGGTGGACCTAAACGGCGCGGCGTCGTGTAGAGTGGGGCACGGAAAAACGTCTATAAAACCAGAGCCCTTCAACGAAACGACTTCTAATTCAGAGAACTATTAGAAAACACATTGGTCTAACACCCCACCAAAAATCTCCCCTCAAACCTCTACCCAAGTGCTGATCAATGTCGCAGAAGTTGGACGCAGGCGTTTCTCTCACGTGAGTGATGTCTGTTAGACGAGGAAAATCCGGCTAATGCTTTGATTTGGAGCCAAACTTTCTATGCTATCTTGAAAACATATTATCCTTGCATATATTTCAACAAGTAATCATTCATTGTAATGATTCTATGAAACACAGGCGAAGGCAGAAGTGGCGTCGCGAAACACGGATAGCTACATTGCGGCGCCCTTTTCCCTAGGTCAAAAAAGTGAGATTAGAACAAAATTTATTTTAGAACACGAGTAGATCATATCCTTCCAGAACTGACGAGAAGAAGTCATTTGACCTCTTTTGCAGACATATTTTTTACGAGTTTCATCTGGTTTCCTCACGCGCTCTCATAGTGCGGCGCCCGACTCGCCGACACAAACAACACTGGTCTCAAAGGCTTTTAGTTGAATTTCCGAAGATGAACTTAATGGTATTTCGTTGCAAGAATATGCTGAAATAGGTGATTCTGGCAGCGTTTAGATCCATTCTACTAGTAATTCAACGTTCAGGTAGCCGGAGTCTGCGCTTTCTTGGATATGCCACAAGAAGAGCAGCATCAACAGCAACCTTTCTGCTGGAACAAACGAGAAATTGTCACTGGCTCTTTCTTAATAGTGAATTTTATTACATATTCTTCTAACAACTACTATACTTTGCTTTTCCTTCAATCAACTCCAAAAATCTTCTACAGGAACCTGTGGCATGCCTCCATCACTACGTTCACACTGAAACCATTGAAAATTCGGTTTATTTTCGGTGCGCAACTATTCCTGCTAGATTTCTTGGGAACTTGGGACTACTGGGAAACTATTTTGAAGAATGTAACTTACATTCCCACCGAAGAAGTGTACTAAGTTGAGTTGAGCAAGTATCAAAGCAGTTTCGGGGCACGTTGACCGTTGGGGATCCCTAGCGAGGGATCATA